TTTTTGTGCATAGAAATCTTCCAATCTGTTGTACGTTCATCTAGCGTACTGCTTGGAGCCTTCCTCGGAAAGGTATAAAAGCCAGTAATCAAATGTAACACACAAACCGATTCACGTACTGAAGACTTGACAATAGATTTTCTGAAATATGGCAAACTTTGTTGGCATTAACAAAGAAAATTTTCAGTTTCTATGCATAAGTTTTCAATTAAAGAGAAGATTAATTACATTTTAAAAAAAAAACAAATTATTAAAAAACTTTTAGGTAATTTTCTGATTCTTAATTTGTCGTTACAATGGTTCAAAATATACCAATTATATACCTCTACTGCCGTACAAATGTACCGCTACAGTAAAATCACTTTTGAACGACTTCATTTTGATCACTTTCAGGATGGTCCTATTCTGAAATGCTGCGGGGTGTATCAGAAATGTTCAGACATTATTATCAGAGTTAAACGGATTAGTTAATGCACTTAATTACAGCAAATGTTTGGGTCTTTTTATATTTTTCAAATTTTTGTACCAAAGTTATGGTAACAATCCGATTAAGTTGAGTTATTGTTGTTATATTGAAAAACAGATGATAATATCAGCTATTGTCTAAAAAACAACGAAAGAATACAATGTATTAATATACTCTAAACTGTACGAATAACTTGCTCGTGATCTACTAATAGCAGCTTTGATGATGGAACAGTTGAATGGACTAACGATGAGATAAGACACCTAAATCTTTTGGTAGTTTTAGGTGACCTAAAACCTTTATGAAGTAAGAATACCAACTGATAACTGTGACTAACAGAACACACATTCCTGAAGCCTATCCTGACAAACCTTCTGCTAAGCAATCCAAACTATCATCAAAATGGCCAGCTTTTTTTAAACTATATTATAAGATCAATTTTTTTTGTCATTTCAAGCCTAATTGGAATGCATCGTCGAACAGTTTCATGTTTTCTTTAGTTTACTTTATCATATAATCTTTGAATTTATTGCCGCAAATTTACTTCATACCGGGACACAGTGTTGCTATGCAAAAGGAATAAATAGAAGTCAATACAAGTCGAGTTTTTTTGTGTACAATAGCTTTTTAAAAATGAGCTAAGGTCTTTGAAAAACGAGCAATCTTTAATTTTCTCTTTCAGTAAAATAACAGAAAAATTACAAACTCTTGAAAGGTTTATATTTAAAGTTTATCAGCAAATATATAAGA